AGGGGGGTTGGACTAGATGACCCACAGAGGTCCCTTCCAACCCCTACTATTCTGTGATTCTGTGATTCTATGCCACCGCATCTCAGCTGTACAAGACTCAGCTCCTGTAGCAACGCCAGATGAGGGGACTCAAGGAGATCATCCACTATAAATTATACTTGTTAGATCATTTTCAGTCACATCTAAGTAAATTAAAATATTTGTTACCACTATACTTAAGTAAGTTCTTCTCATTCTTGAGCAAAATAATGACATCTCTATCTGATCTGGCACAGACGCACATATATATATATATATATATATAAAACACACACACAGTGCCCAAGGTCCTACCTTGCTAATCTGATAAACTACAAAAAACCCCAGAGAAATAAGAGTGCCAAAAGCACAATTCCCAAGCTATTTCTACATAAGTTTCCAAAATCCTCTCCTCCTGGCAAGTCCAGGATGTACCTGGAATACCCTACCCAAAAGCACACACCCTGCGGAGGTGTCAGACAGCCCGACAGCGGACGCCCAAACCGGCAGAGATTTTCCAAGCTGCCCTCATTACTTTACAACTTCCTTCAGCTCCAGCCCCCACAGCAGCAAACACTTGTCCGTGCCTCGCCAGGCTGAATTTTGACTGACACCTCAGATCCCGCCGCCTTCTGCGATTTATTTTCACACCCACCCCATTTAATTGAAGTATTGGAGTTGTCTCTATCAATCTATTTACTACTGCAACTATATTGACATAATTATCCTAGGGAAGGAAAAAAGTGTCCAACTGGGAAATTATACTGGAAATATAATTACTAAGGAGCTCCAACAGTCACAGAATAAGCTGGTGACTTTACCACATAGTAGCTACTCTACAGTAGGAGCACATGTGCACTGTTTTCTGGGCACACTTCTTCTCATGCTCATTAAAGTGAAAAGGGAGTAGGGATTCTATAAGATTAGCTACCTGGTATTTAACACCAAACGAGAGCGTGCCCACAGCTGGCTACTGCTGAGCTCCGAACCCTAAGTCCACGTCAGCTCTTTGCTTTCCACCACCCCCACACCGGTACCACCCTCTGGCAAATTTCTCTGGAAGACTGTTCTTAAGGAGCTCAAAAATGAAGAAGGGAGGCAGCTGTTTTACAGCTCGCTGGAAGGGATCTGGCCACAGATCCAGGATCCGGGCACCCAAACACCCGCATTGGGAGAACAAACTAGCTTTCAACACATGGGCACCGTTGATTTCTAGTGAGTTGGGAAACCAATTTGCGAATTGGCTGCGTTACTAAATTAGTAACGTTTGCCCTTGATGTGTCTGTATCCATTGGCAGTGTAATTTGTCTTATTTAAACATATACAATCCAGTGTAACAGTAGCTAATTTAGGCATCAAAAGCAATACAGCTATAGCAATGCAAACCCCAACCTGGATCGGTCCCTTAACGCATACAGATTCCTGTACAGCTTTTTGAGTTCAAATTACAGTTGAGGCTACTGCTGTTAATCCCAAATAATATTCCAGTTCCGCTGCTTACAACTTCTACAGCTTACAGCCATGCCTTTCCTGCAGTGCAGGCATACCTGCAGCCACCGAGACGCCAGTATTTACAGCACCTAGCAGGAATTCCTTTACTTCAGCTAAGAACTGCTCTTGGAGGAGATACTTACTTCTCTTCGACGTTGTCCTTTACATGTTTACTCTCAGGGTTGCCATCTGTGGGAGCTACCATTGTATTGCTGCTGGAAGTGGTACCTGTGAATTAGGGACAAAAAAGAGACCGGTCAATAAAAAAGCAAAGCAGTCCCAAGCACTGCACGACGACCCTTACTTACTTTGTCTGTGCCCAGAGCCCCAACCAGGTATACACTACAGCAACGGGCACAAACTGAGCCAGAGAAATTACTTTCATATGCAAGGCAAAAAAAAAAAATAAATCGTTGTTTAGAACTAAAAGCTTGTGAGCTGCTACCATAATTTCACTACTGGGAAAAAATCCAAAGAATCCATTCCAGGAATCTCTGAGCCTTCAGTGCAAATTAAGCAGAAAGGCTGGTTGTTGAAGCAGGATCTGGAGATCTGTTTCTTCCTTTCCCGTATGCTACACCTTACAGTAATCTGTAAAACGTAGTGCAACTTTGGTATGCAGATAATTTGAAACACAGAGGAGGGATTAAAATCTAACAGCCTGCAGCCAGGCTGGCATCCATTTCTTTTTAAGAGAAACTTGCAAGCATCACCCTAATAGATGACCGCAACTGGAAATGATTTGGCACCCGCCCACAGCTTTTGCTGCTCTCAATTACACTTCAATGCAAGAGGCCCGTAATTTTTTTTTCATATTTTTAAAACACTTTCCTGCACAAGCGCCAACATGTCCACCTCGTGATCCAGACAACCCCTACAGCACGGGCCTGGGCTGCTGCGTAACACCGAGGGCTCTGCAGCGCAACAGCCACGTCCTCGCTTCGACGCCCTCCCGGCCACGTCTTCCGTGGCTCGCTCCGAGAGGTGCTTCGCCAGAATCACACAGCTTCGCCCACCATTTCTCAGCGTGTCCTTGGATTGAACCATCAGCTAGACACTTCTTATATTTTCAGTGGGGGCTTTTTTGATGACTGATCTATTGCTAATTATTTCTAAATAAATTCTCTTAAGTTTAATTAAATCCTCTTGAATAAAATCCTACAGGTGCAGCTTGTATCTATAACAGAACTTAAAAAGGTAACAAGTTGCATGGATTTAAAAGGGCATGGATTTTCCCAGGGGCTTGACTGAACTGACATAAAAGTGATATAGTGAGGGTAAACAGTGCAAGGTCTGAACACAGACAAAGTCTAACACATATATTAATACAAGCCTGTTCTTCATGAACCTATCAGCTGTTCTTTAATAAGAAACACCAAAAACTGCAGATCTTGCAAAACAAACTTCATACCTTTATTTCTTTTTAGACACGGAACATTGTACTCCTATTGAACATCTACAGATGAACTCCAATATTATAACTGATTGATAATAGCATGTTTATCAGTGATGATAATAAAAAAGTTAATAAATTCTCACCTGAAGTGACAGAGGGGATTTTGTAACTGGAGGTAATGCGGTAATACGGTGGATTGTCCATGTGGGTGACTCCTGAACTGACAGGATCTGTAAGCTGAAGTTCACTCACCAGCTCTTCCAGTAGCTGCATTGTTTTATCTCTACCCAAATAAACAATGACTTTCTTTACCTGCCATCAAAAAAAGTATATGTTTATAAAATAGTATTTACATAAATAAAATTCTTACTGCAGTGATTTGATTTAAAAAAAAAAGGGGGGAGGGGGAATAAGGAATTTGAATACCATGACTTGTTAGAACAGTCTCTGCCTGCACTGCAAGTGAGAATACATAAAACTTACTCTAGTTGTAACAGTAAGCAAAACTGCTTCCACAGCTGTCAATAGCATTTAAGAAGCAAAAGATTTTCTGACAAAGGTTTTCGTAACCTCTGAGATCAACAGTGAGTGAATGTCTGCTGATCTAATTTCTTTCCGATACTTCCCCGTTGTGTTCAACGCTCTTTCGTTTCCCGCAGGTACCACGTTTTCCTCAGGCTGTTCTGCAGTGCCCTCACATACGCTTTGACAAAAAATAAACTTGGTTTTGAGGGTGCTTAGGGTGGGGATTTTTTTGTTTTAATACCTGGTCACGTGAGAATAATCACACTGTCCCTACATGGTGGGGCAGGTGCTTTACTGCAGTATATTACCTGTCTCCTTTTCAGGACTATCTCAAATTATAGCATGGGAAAAAACATTTAATTCCCAAAATGCTTGAGGCCTTTATATACTCTGATAAGAATAAACACCTAACTACAGCTACATTTTACTAAGCATATAGTAATTAAGGATTCTCCACTACACCTTACTTCAGCAAAACAACCCTGGTCACCGCGAAGCAGCCGCAGACGGCTGCTAGCCAGTGACTCCTGTAGACAGCAGTCAGGCCGTGTTCTGCCTTCTGATATTTTCTTGAGTCATTACTGCTCAACTATTTATTTCCATCCTTTTGAGAGAACTCCCAGACGAACGGTAAGCAAGGGATCCAGGGTGTTTGACTCGTGGAATTACTTTGTCACCTTGTTCGAGCCGCACAAGGTTTTGGGCTGCAGCATTAAGCTGGATTTCCTGATTTGCAATGCAAACGATTGCCAATCAACAGAGAACTGAAGCCGTCCTTAGTAAGCACTTACCATAGCTCCTGATCACAGAATCACAGAATCACAGAATAGTAGGGGTTGGAAGGGACCTCTGTGGGTCATCTAGTCCAACCCCCCTGCCGAAGCAGGGTCACCTACAGCAGGCTGCACAGGACCTTGTCCGATACTTAAAACAGATTCCTCTTTCTTCCTTAGTTTACTTCATATCTATTTTTTTGACTATTGGCAAAACCTGTATTACTTTTCTAATGAAAATATTACGTATGGAACTATCTTAATTCTTCCTAACGAACGGAGAGCAACTGTTGCCGTAGACTTGCGTTTTATGATGGGAAGTTGTTCAGTGTACACTCCTAATAAAATTAATCTAAATTCAGCAATCAAACTCTTAAGTTCCTTTTTATGACAAAGGAAGAACAAAAATGTTAAGACAGATGTAGACATTTAGGAAGAACAAAAATGCTAAGACAGATGTAGACGTTTTAATAAGTCTTTTCCACCTTTTAAGATTTACTCACTAAATCAGGTCTACGGTCCACAGAGCATACCCTGAATTTTGACAGCTCGCAGCTGATAAGGCAGCTAGTGAACCATTTCACACTCACCACCCTGAGTAAATGGCAATAGTCAGTCAGTTGCCTTAAGGAAGCCTCAGCTGTCTTTAAGGGGCGATACCCTTTCTGGCTGATATCCTTTCCCAAGCCTGTTCCAGTTTAACTGAAACTGATACTGAAATTTGGACACCGATGTCCCACGTAACTCAAACAAGAGAACTGAATTTGATTTGTTCATCGTATTTCGTGGTCATAAAATACGGGGTGACACTACCATGCGCTTGGAGCTTTCGATACCAGAAATCCTACAAATCTAAAGCATCAGCAGCGCTACGCAGAGGCGTATGGCGTACTCACGTATGGCAGCAGGCTGGGCTCACTGTTCACTCCGCAGATGCTGATCAAGAAGTGCAAAATGATTTTCAGATTCTTCGGCCAGCTGTCTGCCAAAGTAGTCCAGACATTTTCTATCTCCGACCAAGCCACTTCATCACCATACTAGAAAACAACATAAACATCGCTCCTGAAAACTCCAGTAGAAAACATTGTATCTGAAAGTGAACTGTACTGACCAAGCGGGACAGAAAAAGGAGGCACAAATCCTGTAAGAAGTTATTGCCTTTTTCAACATTCCAGAATGAAGCTTTCACCTACATTCATTTTTATAAACACATTCTGGAAATAACTATCTTCTTTTACAGCTATAAATATATGACAATATATTGTTATATAGTATAGGAAAGTTTAAATAAATATATAACAATATATTTATTTGTATAATGCACAAATAATATATGTATTTGTACATATTATGTATTTTACTGATATATAACATATGCTTTTATACACTATATAAGTATACAGATATTCATATGTGAATTTATTTCTATTTTTATGTATTTATTTACATATAAAGAAAAAAAGTTATTTAAATTTAGCAGAGATCCATTCTCCCAGCTGCTGACAATCCTGAATAAAATTCCATGGACCAAAGGCTGCCAAGAGTTTTTAGTTTGTAGCTTAAAACACAATCTCTCCTCAGCAGGACTCAAAGCTATGAAGAACTGGCAGGAGCACTGCAGGTGACCAACCCTCCTCCTGTGCTGGAAGGAGCTGTCGCGGGCAGGAGGAGGGTCTGCCAGCCTCTGGCAGGAAGATCAGTTCCAAAGCGTCCTGCGAGGAGCAGGGAGCTGGGCTCGGTGATCCTGACGGGTCCCTTCCAACTCGAGATATTCTAGG